CTGGATAGATACCCAGTAGTGGGATTGCTGGATCAAAGGTAGTTCTATTTTTAGTTCTTCAAGGAATCCCCATAATGCTTTCCACAGTGGTTGTACTGGTTTACATTCCCACCAACAGTGTAAAAGTGTTCCCTTTTCACCACATCTATGCCAACATCTATTATATTTTGATGTTTTGATTATGGCCATTCTTGCAGGAGTAAGGTGGTATCTCATTGTGGTTTTGATTTACATTTCCCTGATCATTAGTGATGTTGAGCATTTTTCCATAAGTTTTGTGGTCATTTGTATACCTTCTTTCGAGAATTGTCTATTCATGTCCTTAGCTCGCTTTTTGATTGGATTGTTTGTATTTTTCTTGCTGATTTGTTCGAGTTCTTTGTAGATTCTGGATATTAGTCTTTTGTTGGATGTATAGATTGCAAAGATTTTCTCCTACTTTGTGTGTTTTCTGTTTACTCTGCTGATTATTTCTTTTGCTGTGCAAAAGCTTTTTAGTTTAATTAAGTCTCAACTACTTATCTTTGTTTAGGTTGCATTTGCTTTTGGTTCTTGATCATGAAGTCTTTGCCTAAGCCAATGTCTAGAAGGGTTTTTCCAATGTTATCTTCTAGGATTTTTATGGTTCCAGGTCTTAGATTTAAGTCGTTGATCCATCTGAGTTGATTTTTGTATAAGGTGAGAAATGAGGAGCCAGTTTCATTCTTCTACATGTGGCTTGCCAATTATCCCACCACCATTTGTTGAATAGGGTGTCCTTTTCCCACTTTATGTTTTTGTTTGCTTTGTTGAAGATGTTTGACTGCAAGTATTTGGCTTTATTTCTGGGTTCTCTATTCTGTTTCATTGGTCCATGTGTCTATTTTTATACCAATACCATGTTGTTTTGGTGAATATAGCCTTCTAGTATAGTTTAGAGTTAGGTAATGTAATGCCTCCAGATGTCTTCTTTTTGCTTAGTCTTGCTTTGGCTATGCAGCTCTTTTTTTATTCCATATGAATTTTAGATTTTTTTTTTCTAGTTCTGAGAAGAATGATGGTGGTATTTTGATGGAAATTACATTGAGTTTGTAGATTGCTTTTGGCAATATGGTCATTTTAACAATATTGATTCTAACCATCCATGAGCATAGGATGTGTTTCCATTTGCTTGTGTCATCTGTGATTTCTTTCAGCAGTGTTTTGTAGTTTTCCTTACAGAGGTCTTTCACCTCCTTGGTTAAGTAAATTCCTAAATGTTTTTGTTTTGCAGTTACTGTAAAAGGGGTTGAGTTCTAGATTTGATTCTCAGCATGGTCACTGCTAGTGTATAGCAGAGCTACTGATTTGTGTGCATTAATTTTGTATCCTGAAACTTTGCTGAACTCATTTATCAGTTCTAGGAACTTTTTGGATGAGTCTTTAGGGTTTTCTAGGTATAACCATGTCATCAGCAAACAGCGATGGTTCAAATTCCTCATTACCAATTTGGATGCCCTTTGGTTTTTTTATCTTGTCTGATTGCTCTGGCTAGGACTTCCAGTACTATGTTGAATAAAAGTGGTGAGAGTGGGCATCCTTGTCTTGTTCCCTTTCTCAGGGGGAATGCTTTTAACTTTTCCCTGTTGAGTATAATGTTGGCCGTAGGTTTGTCATAGATGACTTTTATTACCTCAAGCTATGTCTCTTCTATGCTGATTTTACTGAGGGTTTCAATAATAAAGATATGCTTTTTTGTCAAATACTTTTTCTGGCTCTATCGAGATGATCATATAATTTTTGTTTTTAATTCTGTTTATATGGTATATCACGTTTATTGACTTGCAGATGTTAAACCATCCTTGCATCCCTGGATCATACTAAATTTTGAGAAATTAAAAGTTTTTCCTCTAAGATTCAGAACAAGGCAAGAAAGCCCATTCTCATCACTTCTTTTCAACATATTACTGGAAGTCCTAGCCAGAGCAACTTGGTAAGGAAGAGAAAAAAATTATCCAAATCAGAAAGTAAGAAGTAAAATTATCTCTGTTCACAGATGACATAATCTTATATGTAACGAACCCTAAATATTCAACAAAAAATCTCTTAGAACTCATAAGCAAATCCAGCAGTTTCAGAATGCAAAATCAATGTAGAAAAAAATAGTATCATTTCTAAATACCAAAAATAAACAATCTAAAAAGAAACTTGAGAAAATAATCCCATTAAAGG